TCAACAGCCCCCCCGCCCCCAGTAAGCACCTGCGAATTTGACCCAACCCAAGCTCTACTTCTGCACAGGCTTTTACCGAAACAGAAGCTTTTTCAGCCTTTCTGGTACAGTTACACATCCCATCAACTACCACCGTTTGTAACGCTTTGGTACTCAAGCTCTTAAATCCTAATTTACATGCACACTGAAACGAGCAAAATGCTCAAGACTCCATATAAACTAACAAAACCGTCCAAGTTCACGATGAAAAATTAACAAACAGGTGCTGCTCTTAAGGAATATCCAGATAGTCCCACTTCAGCATCTCAAAGCAGAGTAACACACCGCTAATTACAACCTCGTTACTATTGAAATTCTGATTATTACACAGATTAGTGCACTGAAAAAGTAATTAACCAGACTAGCATTGCTATAAAGAAAAACATCCCACAGATCATTTACAGTCCACCGTTTCTATAAACCCTCGTGAGATTCTTTCCAGACCAGGAACCCTGCAGGAGGTTTTGTCCCATCACTGAAACAGTCATTTTATTTTGGGCTAGAACCACTGACACCCTCCTTTCAGCACCTGGCCGACCGAGCTGCCACCTTGCTGACCCTGTGTTTTATTCCCAGCCAATTCCCTTCTCTGGTTAATTAGAGTATTAAACATGAAAGGTTTTTTCTGGAGATTCTTTCCAGACCAGGAACCCTGCAGGAGGTTTTGTCCCATCACTGAAACAGTCATTTTATTTTGGGCTAGAACCACTGACACCCTCCTTTCAGCACCTGGCCGACCGAGCTGCCACCTTGCTGACCCTGTGTTTTATTCCCAGCCAATTCCCTTCTCTGGTTAATTAGAGTATTAAACATGAAAGGTTTTTTCTGTGTATTAGAAGCTGAGAGCATCCTTGACAGCATTCATTAGACTAACACTGCGAATAGGTAGAGAGACATGGACACAGTAATTTAAAGGCTTCTAGAGAACTAAATTAAGGAAGCAGCAGTTTGGTTTAAACTCTTATTTTATGTCCTGCCTCCCCCAGTCATCAAGTACTTTAAATTTTTCCTTCTTGCGAGTGGGATATTTACACAGAAAAGTCACACTATTAAAATCTCGTATCACTGGGTGCTGCTTTAAATCACTCTGACATTTGTGCCACGTACAAAACCTTCCACCCTCAAAAGTTAATGGGAAATCTTCTCTGTAGCAACATTTCTTAGGAAGCAAAACAGGAAGGCGACAAATCGGGGAATTAAGGCATAGCGGAAGAAAGCGTACTCCAAAAATAAATGGCTAAACAAGTACGTTTTAATGTCACCATCTGAATTTGAGGACTTGTTAAATTACCTTTTCAGCCCAGTTGATAGGAGGCTCACCAGAAAGCATTTAAAGCCCCACCGTCAATTCCTTAAAGCAGGGCATGACTGTGACATATACGAGTACTACACTTAAAAACAGATGGTTACGCAGCTGCCAGCTTCTTGTCATACCCAGTAAAAATAATAATAAAAGGACAAAGAGCTCTTTCTGTCTGCCCCAATTGAACTGGATCTCGCTTTCTTCAAAGCTCTACCTTTGGCCTTTACTCGACAGTGCAATTAATTAAACAGCTGAAAACGAGGCAAGCAGAGGTCAGCTCTGTGCTGCCAACATCCTCCTTCCACCCACAACGCCCCGGCGCTGCTCACACTGTGCAGGGCTCAACGCTTCGCTCTTTAAATGGCAACATCAGACGCAATCGTGCTGCTTCGCTCCTTTTCCATTCAACCCGGACTGTAATTACAGGTGACTGGCAGCTCTTTCACCAAACACTCCTCTCTGGAAGTTCAGGGCTCAAACAATTGAGTGCATTAAATATTTATCTTTAGTTTTTGTAAGGAGCTGCATAATTTGAAAATATTTTTAACTATTTTAAGGAGCTGCATAATTTGAAAATAGGGTCTTTTTAAAATTATTACAAGGAACTGCATCATTTCGAAACAGGTTTTCTTCTGGTTAACCTGAAAAAAAACCCGGGTCCGTATCGGATCCATGTGAAACCCACCACGAGGAAAGCACAGTGGCTGAGGGCAGTGGAGCATTTTAAGCTGTTCTGATTCGTTTTGCTACATTTCCTTTAAGGACAAAGATTAGGTAGGAGATGCATTTCCAGAACTTAAGCAGCTTTACAGGAAAAGTTAGGTGTAGATCCTCACCAGGTGCTCTACAAAGGGAAAAGGAAAGCGTTTGCAGTCTTTTTAGCCTCTGTATTGCATGCAAAGCTGTTTGCTCACCTAACAGTAACAAATCAGGCACCCTGAGAAGTTTTCCTTGTCATTCGCTTCTAATTTTGCCAAACTTCAGTTGCAGATTTTTATCTAAGCTTTCATGCTGAGCCTTCTGGGAAGTTTAATTGTAAACAAAGTAAAAAACCTGGAAATTGCTCCTTTCTTTATTTCTCAGGACAAAAAGGTTTGCATTTTTCTTCTCAGCTTACGATAACAATCATGTCTTTCCTGCCGCATTTTGTTAGAGAGCTATGAACTATTAGCGAGACTAAATATCACAAGGCAAAATATGGGCAAGGAGAAACGTGCTAGACTAATGCCTACTTAATGCAAGCCGTTTTGAAAATTTTATTCTGCCACCACAAAAAATTAAGACATTATTTACAGCTGAGTTCAGATTCTTGGAGGGGGGGGGATGATGATATCAAATTCCCCTTCCTTAGGCAGAGCACCGCAGTTAAACACACGCCTTTCAGTATCTGAAAGGTATATAAATGCTGTTTTTAAAGTTCACTGAGGAGCTGCGTTACCTTACCAGAAACACTACCAATTAAATCTCAACGTTGTCAGTAACTGGCATGACAGACGGTTTCAAGCGTCTATAAATATCTTGGAGTTCAGTCGTCAGAACAGAAGTTAAAGAAATAAAACTCCTAAATATAACAAAACTTTTGGTACCCACAGGAACTGCGCAGTTGAGATGTGCCTATTAAATAAAGCTCCAGTACATCCACAGCAGCCTCCAGCACTGCTGCTGTAAATAACCGGTACCCGTAACACCTTGTACCAAGTTTACCAGGCTCGGCACGGCTTTTCCTCGGGACACAGGCGAGGTTTCCATGGATCACTGCACCCCCCCCAGCACTGCCATCACTGAACTTCCCATTTCCTTGCCCTACCCAACAGCGTGGCCTTATAAAACTAAATTCCACCACCTGCAACACCGGTGGTGTTGGCACTACAGACTGAGCAAGGTCAGAAAATAACCTTGCCATGGATTGATCAAGAGTTAGAAAATAAAGAGGAGGGAAAGCTTTTTCTAAGGAGATAATCCATGCAATCCGTGAGCAAACACTCTTCCCTGGACCACATCTGAACTCCACATCTCTCAGAAGTCAGAGCATCGTTCTTCGGCCTGGACTAGGACAGACATGCAGAACAAATACCTGACTCGGATGAATTGTATAAGCCAGTAAAGAACTTTCCAAGGCAACCCACAGACAAACTTACCCCTTGGCTTCCTTGAAACTGGATTACTGGTTTTGATGTCACAGCATCCTAGAAAAACAAGTGGAAAAAAAAAAAAAAGGTTACCTTAGAGAAATTTAAAGCTCCAACATTCACTGCCAAAAAATACTCAGCTTGATTTTTCACCTATACTTTTTTTTTTTTTAAAAAGGGAAAAGGTTCAGGGAAGTAAACAGAATTCCAAGCAAGAAAATACAAAACCTCCTGAAACAGCAGTTTTTACCCAGAAAAGGGAAAAAACCCTCACATCACCAGTGGTACCCTTCCTTCAGAAAAAGAACAGCTCGGAGATGATACCCAGACGGGTTCTGCTTCGCTCCTTCCTGACCCCTAAACCACATTTCAGGCACAGAATAGCTTAGTTGTGTATCTTCGGTGCTTATGTAAGTTCTGAGCTAAACGGTAGATATTTGAGGGGGAAAATTATTACAGTTCCAGGTCTGAGAACACACTAAGCAAATTTTTTCCAACAGAAAGCTGGAAAAGCAAACTGCAACTTCATTGCAAAATACTGTTGTTACGTTGCCCATTTCAACACTCAACATATTCCTCCATACTAATTTGCTTACATTTTGGGAAGTCATAGTCCTGCTAGCTCTAAATCCCCTTAAATCTGCTCAAGGCAAACACCACTGAATTTCAGCCTTTTTCCACCGTGATGGCACTTTTCGCTTTGCTGTGATTTTACAAAGATGACGAAGGCTTTTGAATTCAAACTCTTACCTGAGGTTTCAACTACAGGGAAAGAAAGAATGTATGCAACCCAAGCCACGCTAAGTAAGTTTTCAGCTCTTAAATTTCGTGAGAATCATGGCTGTACTGGTTTTATTTCTGAAGTCACACAAAACATTCCCAGACACACTAAAGAGACCCTCCTGCAGCGAGGGGTTGTGCTCCACGGGGTGGAAAACCTCGCTGGGTGCGGGATCCCATTGGGGAGCCTCCCACAGGGACAGACGAAAGGTTGAAATGTCATTTGGGAGCGAACACGTTGCCACATATACGGGAGACACGTTTCAACGGGAAAAACGCCAAGAAAAGTTTAGGAGGCAAAGTCCAAACGGTGCGTTTGTGTCGTCCTTTCTGCGTGGCGGTTCTCGCACCTCCCGGCGTTATAAAGAATCACATCGACTTCGATGGGATCACAGAAACAGGCACTCACACTCAGCGGCAAAAGAGTTAACAGCTTGAAAGCCCATTAAGTTTATCATCTCCTATAAAACCCTTCCAAACGCTTTCAGCCCAGGAGTGAAGAATCTAAGCCACAACACGCTGACATTAACAACAAGAAAAATTCACTAGCACGAAAATACCCTTCTAGCACAGATGAATAAGCTCATACCAAGACACAGCCTTCAGAGCCTTCTAAGAGCCCATCCAATACGATTTAACAGATCTGCATCACGCCCTAAGTTGTTATGAGATATTTATGACGGTGAGTAAAGCAAGAATATGCTTGAGGCTGACAGCACTCGCTCTGTGTCGTAGAGCGAGTTTTATAGACCCGAAACAACCTTTATAAAGAAACAATAAACAACATCTTGCTCTTCGTACACAGATCACCAAATTCCTTGAGTGCCACGACACTGCATACCACAGCACGCTGTTCATAGACAGACTGGCCAGCTTTTTGTTCATGGTGTCAGCATGTACTGTGCAATGTGTCCAAAAATTCATACGAACATACTTGAGCAAACAAGCATTTGAAACATCAAAAAAATCTGGATTAAAAAAAAAAAAATCTCAATGTGGATCTTGTAAAGCTAATGACAGATTGGTGAAGTTCTGCAATTAATTCTGGAAAATTACCTACGTGGAATCAAACAGTAATATAAAGCACATAAGTAGAATAACGAGGCAGTAACAATACAAAAGTACTGTTACACAAATCCGGACAAGCTTTAATTACAGAACTTATAAATTCCCTAATCTACATACAAAATGGTTTGAAGTTAAATGTGTCATCTCCAACTTAAAAATGAGTGTTCGCACGAGTTAAATGGCAAACTGCAGCTTTATTTCCTCCAAAGCCCTGAAAGACAGTATTTCTGGGCTCCCGAGCTGCCTGCGCCTAGAGGCTGCTGGGTGTTGTGATCTGCTGTGTGGGAGCAGCAGTGTTGCGACGCCCTGCCACCCGCCACCAAATGGATGGCAGGGAAGAGCTGGATATTGGAGGGTCATTGCACCATCTGAGTTCCCCTTTTTAGGGGGAAGAAGGGGAAGGCTACGCCCCCCCCATACCCACACAGGCATCGCCTCCCTTCTGCTGATGCTCAATTCCTTGGCTACAGGTCATTTGAGAAAGCACACACACCCCCTAACCTAATTAGGGATATGAATTTAAGTACTTTTATTAGACGAAATTGAGTTCTTGCGTGGACACCTTCATTCAAAATAAAAGCAAACAGATGTATTAAGCTAAACCAAATTAAAACCATATTTCAGTAAGACATGTAGATGTGGCGTGGCACTTCGGGACATGGTTTAGTGGTGGACTTGGCAGTGCTAGGTTAACAGTTGGGCTCGATCTTATTCCAACCTAAATGAATCTGTGAGTCCATGATTCATTTGGATTAACTTTCCTCAACGTTCTTATATGGACAAACACCAATTTTTAAGAGTTCTTACTACCATTTCCAAAAATCCCTCTTGTCCTCTTCTAACGAGTCACCTAGTTGTTCTTCCTTAGTGATGCCAAGGCAACGAACTTCCTTCATTACAGTTTCTCAGAAATGCCATCCAACCCACCTTTAGTGGGAACAAGGTCTCTCCCTCTTTCTGTCTTTCCTTCTAACTAAAAGTAGTTACCTCCTCGGCCCTAGGACAGGACCACGCTACTGCTGCAGGTGCAAGTCTGCCTTCTCCAGAGTACACCAACAAAGTTCAGTAAATCTTTGGTAAATCAAGGATGCTGATGAAACCTCACCTTTGTGTTCAGTTAAAAGGCAAAACAAGACAGATCTGTCCAAGCAACTGGGCCACCTGCACAGCCTTATCTTCCAGCTTTATTCCACCATAAGACTCTGTGTACACATATCTGTCTATCTATATATAGACAGATAGATAGATATCTCTATCTATCTATCCATCTTGCTACTGGAAGCTGATTAGGATAAAGGCAAAAATGTAAGCAGGAAAACAACAGTTCAATTATTTTAAACCAGCCACCTGTCAGTTCAAAGGTTTTTCTGCTGCTGCCAGGTACCAGATGTTCACCTCTACAGTTAACAGACTCATCCATAAAGGTGACAGCACCATTGAAGAGGCCCAAGCACAAGTAACCATGATTGCTGGGACACGTGGGACCAGAGGACAAGTGGTGCCACGCAAGAATAATGGACTTCTAAACGACGCATACACGAGGAGCAAGCAAAGCCCTTTCAACACACCTGAGATGCAGGAATGACATGTCTGCTCGGTGCTCACTATTGTTTCAACAAAAGGCTTCCTGACGCAGGGCTGAAAGGTCAGCAAATCATTACCACGTCTTCGCTGTTTGCTAGTTCCTACAATGGACCTTTACGAAAATGCGTCAGGCGTTCTTACTGTTAAATGAACTGTTTTAACAAACCTTCCTGCAGTCCAACTCACCAATGCCCCAAAGCTCGATAGGAATAACTTCCAAGGGAGCATCCAAACCACAAACGTGTGGCTGTAATTCTCTGGGACCTACCCAAATTTAAATTGCCAGCTTCACCAGATCTACCTGACTTGCCAACAGACCCTCAGAAGAAGCCTGAATAGACTCCAGCTGTGTCGGGTGACAACCCAGCATTTTACTCCATAAAAATGCACTTATTTGCTCTCTGGAAAGAGCATTTCCATGCTGCTGTGCCCAGCTCACTGCCTTCCACAGCTCCCACTGTATTCTTCAGGCATGGTGGAGAAATAACGCAGCAACCTTCCAAACACTAAAGCTCTGCCCCGGGACGCCAGCATGAATCAAACCTCACAGGCCCAAGTGCTTTTTGTCAGACAGTCCTCCAGATACTGGAAGATTATTTCAGAAGTCATGAGATTAAACCAAAAACTCATCCCCAAAGCTCCGACAAAACATTTGTCTTTTACTACCATGGTATTATGCTCATCTTCATCCTCTAGCTTCCCCGGTCTAGAGGAGAGCTCGTAACCCTTGACACATACTCAAAGCTCACAGAGGCCGTGGCAATGCACAAAGTTCCCCACACTTAAACACTCCAGATCTGGCATGTGGAAGCTTGAGTAAAAAGTAGGAAGAAGAAGAAAGTGTCAATAACGCACACAAAAGTTGAATGTAAAACCAATAAAAATCCTTTATCGGGTATGATCAAAGCTGGCAGGAGGTTTTAAAAATGTTTAGAGGAAAAGCTGGATGGGATATTCCTACACAAGACCAGACATTTGAAATCCTCAGGTCAAATAACCAGTTGGAAACCTCCCTCTTTCTTCAGGGAAATAGAGATAATTAAAGAATACGTTGTTTCAAGAAGTTCTGTTATGCATTTACCGGAATTCATACTGGAGGCAGTGTTATACGGAAAATATTTGCCTATACTTAGTATCGGTGTATTTGTCTGTTTTCTTGAATGTTAAAAGTCACAAACGCCGAGCAAACAGAGCAAATGAAAGCTTAGCCTTATTTATGTTGGAACAAGGGAATTATTTTCAGAATTTAAAGCTTCTTGCAAACATTTAAAATTAGTAGCAAGAATTCCAATAAATACAGAGAGAAACTATAAAATCTTGCTAACCCCAAGGCTGGCATCAACGGGACATTTTGAACTGTCACGTGCAATTCCAGCCAGGTAAAGCTGCTGCACCTCAGAAGCCAGCTACAAAACCGAGAAGAAACAGAAATCGCTTAGAATTCATAAATTTCAGAGTCACTAATACCCCAAAGTCATTAAAGCTCCTTTTCCAATCCTTTGGTTATGACTACTTTATGTTTCTTTTGCCCACGCAAAGTGGCCAAATACAGGCAATACTCCCTCCCTGACTTCCTCCAGCTCCTCAGCAGAACTGGGCAAAGGATTAAAAAAAAAAAGAAAGAAAAAGGTCAGGTCCCAATCCAGGAGGATACTCAGCTCGAGCAGACCCGGATGCTTGAGAAATGGTGTTCTGCAGACCTGAACAGAACGTAACGATTTAGATTTCCACCTCCATTTTCATCTGAAACACACCACGCAGGCTTTGCAAAGGAAAACAGAGGCCAAAGCCAAAGCAAATATACCCAGCGTCTCGTTGTGACAGACTCACAAGAGACACCCCAGAGTCCCAAAGTTCATTAGTGGCAAGATCTATAAATCCCAGGGGCAGCAAATACCTTTGAATATATCCTCAACTTCAAGTGACTCTGTGTGAAGTTTACTGGCAGTCAATTAGCCAAAGCTGGCCCAAGAGAGAACCACTGCGAATTAGGTAGAGACAAAAGACTTCTCCCAAGACATTCCACTATTTCAAGGCTTATATTTACCTCCTCCCAGAAACAGAGCACTAAAAAGCCTCCTGAATATTCCTTTTTATGTCACATCTATTACTTACAGAATTAAAATACCGTCTCCCTGCAACACAATTTCCATCTGCAATTTAAGGTCTCCCAACAATCTCATTTGCCGTTGAGGACACTAACACGCTGCAGATGGGATCGAGTCTGCTGAGACTTGAAAATTATAGATCCTATATAATTTTTGTTGACCTAAACTACAAAGCCTTCCAGACCTTTTTATACTACAGAGACAAGCTACTGGTTTTGCTATTCAAATACAACAGTCTCAGGAAGAGTCTGGGAAATTCCATGTAAATCCACAACTATCGAAGCAAAAAGTTTAAGCTTTCTACTCAAGAGAGGTGCCAGCAGCCACGGCGACAACGGTGAGCAGCGCAGCACTGCAGGGTGTGATGGGCGCTCCTCGGGCAGCCATCCCCAAATTCACCAACGTACAGGTTTGCTCGCGCCTCCTCTCTGAGTTGATCCCGTTTATCAACTTGATGAGCAAAGTGTAGTCAAAGAACACCACCACATCTGCCTGCTGGGCCCGGGTCCCCACTCTTCCACCCCATTTCCCTCTACCCAATATCTAAAAGAAATATTTGTTTGAGGCAGAAGCGAGTACTTGAGCTTTTAATACAAATAATTTTTAAAAAGGTGCTTTTGATGAAGGTTTAGGAGCTGGAGGCTTACCAGTTACTCTGTAAACTGTAGTTTGTATTTATTACAATCTATCATTTTCCTAATAGGCATTAATGAGTGCATATTATCACTGCAGTATTAAAGCAGCTACAAATCCTAGCCAGAACACAGTGCAAGCAGCAATAAAATGACAAAGAGCTTTTATGCCAGCCAAAATGCTAAGCTGAACATTTTAAAAGTTTTTAATTGCTAAACTGCAACATACATACTGGTTTCCTTGCTGATAATTGCATAATTTTAAGTGGGCTATTAGAGCACGAACGTCACTTCCTCAGCAGTTTAACTTCCCAGGGTCAAATACCAAGAGTGTGCCTAAGACAGAAAACAAGTTTTATTAAAAATGTCAGCTCAAAAAAACCCCTTGACACTGCTGAAACTGTGCCTGAGTTACAGAATTTCAATGTTCACAGCTCCTTATCAAGGAAGCACCATAAGCAGACGGACTTCTACATCACTACACAATCTGAGCATCAGCGATACCGTCCCTCTTGAAATACAGAAAACCTCTACCTTAGCCTAAGTTTAAAGAGTAAGACACATGATGAAGTTAAAAAAAAAAATGTAGCCTAATCAAAATGCTTTGTGCCTGCAACGTAAAGCAGAAACTCAGTCCCTAAATGGACAATAGCTTGTATCAGCAAACCAGAAAGCAATTAAACTCCACTGTCATCAAGATGTCACCCCACAGGCACGAGAGCTGAGCTAGCCATGGAGCCTGTTCTCTCACGCATGCCTGGATCTTCTGATCTCGTCTAATCCAGGTTAAAAAGATCCTCCTGAATAAAACGCAACGTATTTGTCGATACGGTTCTGAGCTGCAGGATTCATTTGGAAACTTAAACCGAAACAACCGAGCGCCGCTTGGGCAAGGTGAAACCCCTCAGTACACCTCCCGGCTGCTCAGCACCTTTAGAGCAGATGCCAGAAGCTTTCTTTAAAGAGGAACCAGGGAAGGGGAGGGACAGTGTGAGAATTAATACATGCGGAGCCAGACTGGCTGCCCAAACACCCATCCTGCCCCCTCTAAACTCAGGACAGCGGCTGGAGGCTGAGGCTTGCCAGCACACGGCGCTTCGCTAGTACTTTTTACGATGCTGCTACGAGAGCGGTCACCCAGCTTTTCAAATCCATCTTTCTTCTTCCTTTGTCCCGAGCATGAAGCTCCTTGGTGGGTCTCATCTTCGAAACCCTCCACAGCACCAGACTTTTCAAGCAAAACTCACTCCACTGGGTAATTTATGTTTTATGCTCAAGCTCAGCGAAATTTTTTTGTTTCAACTTGGTAACTTGAAGTAAAACTTTCCAGACATGCTTCAAAAGAGTCTTTGCTTCCTAGTGCAGAACTAAACGATGGTTTTTTTCTGATCCTGTATTTGCAAAAATAAACCTTTAAGCCTCTGACACAATGCCTGATACTCTGCGCATCTTTAGCCCCAGACCACAAATCTTGCGAAAGGTAGCTTTGGTAAGGGAGCTCCAACTCACTGCATATGCTGAAAAATCCTGGAACAAACCACACATCGCTCACGATCATTAAGCCAAGATGTTTGGCTAGCACAAGGTACAGTAGTTTTCCACTAGAAAGGAAAGCGACGCATCTATGCAATTTAGGCAGTGCCTTTCAGGAAGAAAATTAAAAGGTGGCTCAATTCCTTAGAGAAATAATTAAAGTATTGTCACTTGGTATCAAGTTTACCCTGCTCACGGTGAAGCAGGCGACCTGGTTTGGCTGTAGGAGAAGCTGGCTACAGCAAACATACCAGCATATCTATCAGACTGATTCCTTCTCAGGAACAGGGACCACCAAATGACTTCTTGCAATCCCTGTTCCTAAATTTCTACGGCAATGCAAATACAGTAACTGAGAAACTCTTCTTCAAGAGCACCGAGACGGATACAGAATTGTTCTGTAATAAACCCAAACAAATACACCTCCCGAAACGGCTGCGAGAGATGCCGCGAGGACGCAATGGTCTGTCTCCCACGAAGATGCAAGCTTTGTTTGGGCAGACAACAGCCCTGCGACTTCCAGAGGACACTGAAGAGTTAAACCTACCTGTCTCCAGAAAAGGGCTCTCCTGTTAGGGGACAGCTTACTGCAGAGACACACTGCAGGAGGAGAATAAGCCCCAGGGACAGACAGAGGCATAGCCGAGTCCATTTGAAGAGCCTCGACACTTTTGTCCCAAATACCACTTTCTTTTCGACTGGCCAGTGGGTCACTGGATGCCATCGCTCCTGCTTCCAAAACACCCAACATCACAGCTCGATATGACCGGTATCGAGCAGCTGCAGCTCTCCACCTGGCCAAGACTGGAAACCAGTGCAGTTCCACCCCAAAACGGGAGGCGACTTGCAGTCTGAGGTCAAAGGGAATGTGTATTGTAAGAAACAGGAAAAGATCAAAACTGGTTTTGTGGAATCAAGGGCCCCCAGCACCCAATTAACTCAGACACAGTTAGGTATCTTCAGCGCCGATGCAGAAGTCGGCCTCATTTGGGAATCCAAGTTCGGAGACTACGGGCACATTTCCCAGTGGTACAGCATTCCTTTTTTTATTTTGTGTTTTTATCTCTGCTTTTCTGGGGAGTTAAGGGAGACCTACTCATTAAGTCTAGCAAGAGAAGCAATAATCATAAAGCCTCAACCCTTTATGCCTGACACCAGACTGCCACGAAGAGTTTAAAGGATGATTATCTGCAGTTTAATCATTACAAACTCCCACCAACTTCACTATTAACGAGACGGGGCTACTTAGTGAGGTTTTACTGTCAGAAGACCAACAGCCAACTCCCACGATTTCCAAAGGCTTGCAAAGAAAGGCTTTTTTGGGGAAAAAAAGAACCTTTGCAGCTTTCAGTGTCTAGTACAAGTGCTCAAAGCAGTCTGGTAACTAAAAAACACGTCTCTAATGAAAGAATTACCAAATCACAAAACATCATGCCCATTTTTTAGTGCAATAACCCAGGAGGTCTCCTTCACTCCAAGTAGAAGCCCTACCAGTTTTGATACAATTACTGTATCTTTCGTAAAAATAAGTTTCATTTTTTCTTGTTGGATTTTCTGCGTCCTTTACTCATTACAAAAGGGTGTTCCAGACTCTCATCGAAACTGAGAACCAGTAGCCCTCAAAGCTATTCTATTTTATTAGTCAGCGTTGCATTCCTGAATCAAAACTGTCCATTCACTCAAACGCCCTTACCTTTATCTCATCCTGTTCTCCCCAACCCAATCCCCAAGACAGAGGTTCAAGCACCCCTTCCCCCTTTTCCACAAGCACACAAGAAATCAGCAAAATACTGCACAAAAAGGTTACTTTTATTACTGTTTTTCCTGAAGGGATTTTTCTTCTGTAACTCGGACTAAAAGCAATAGAAAGTAAAACCAGGAAAGCTTAAAGCAAGTTGATACAACATTTCCCAAAGCACTCATACAAAGATAATGCTGCGCTGGCAAATCCACTGCAAAAATTTAAGCATCAACCTAGAAATAAGTTCCATTGTTTTGTTTCTTGCAAGCAATTGTATGGAGTTTGGGAAAAAGTTAAATTAACACATCCCAAGCCCCACCCCTTTTTAAAAATAGCAACCCTACAGTCCCTTGCTTATACAGGAAGAAAAAAAATGTTTTAAATTAAAAAATTAAGTCAGAATTTAACTCTGCTCATACGACCCGAACCTATCCCTTTCTTACAGAGCAGCACTGCCTATCGTTTAGCACAGCTGAATCTGCTAGCAGATACTGTAAGTTAAAGATAGGGTAGAAAAAAAGGAAGGTAAATATTGGTATTTCTAAAGTGCAGGCAAAGGAAAGCAAACCCTCTTTGGTTTGTTTTTTGAACACGTGGATTTGCTTCGAAATGCTGTTTTCAACAAGAAACACCATTCCACAAAGAAATGTCCTGTTCTGCCTCCATACATTGGAAATACTATTAAGTGTAATAATTATTAAATACTCTTTTAAGAAGAGTTCAGCACTATGGCTTCAGCATCTGTACGCATTTGCATTCCAAGGCAATTTAGAGAGATCTTAGTCTGGCAAGAATCCCATTAAGACATCCATACTCAAAATTCCCTGGGTAATCATCTCTCGCATGCAACACTGCTTGTTTTTGCAGCAGATTTTTATTGTAGCTATCAGATGATCTTGTTAAATTGGGAAACGACTGAAGAAAAAAAAAAAAGAACTGGCAGAAGAAAACTGAATCATCCAAAATTCCCAACTCTGCTAAAGGTGAACAGCAGTTCTGGTTTTCCCTAAAGGCTTTACTTAAACAGTTTCATGAGCCAAGAATCATTAAGGGGTTTTAGATTTTCTCAGATTAATATTTTAAAAGTCATTCCTCTAGTATAAGATACCTTGAATGAAGGCTTCTGTGCTTCCTCCGAAAGAAGAGGGAGGTTTGCTAACTGTTTACTAGATGCTGGAGATGTGGTCACCTTTCAAATGAAACCAAAAAAAGCTTGTGAAAACGCTGAGGAAAACAATTTCAATCGTGGAAATCACTTGGCTCGCCATCATCTCTCTCAGAAACGGTACTTTTCACCGATTAGCCTTTCTGAAGCAATACAAGCAATACCGCTTTCGGTCTGTTTTGACAACAAAATCAGGTCTGTGAAATGCGAAGAAGGAGGCATTTTTGCTCTGATTTCCCAAAAAGGATTACAGCAACTACCCAGCCTTTCTATTCCTGACCCTTCCCACCCTCAATGGGCTCAAACCTGAAACGTGGGTACAACCGAAACATGACGATTTCAAGAAGCTTCACTGAAAAGATTCAGAATTAGCTATTAAATATAGGGCAGACCAAGATTTGTTTCCCCTCACCGGGGAACGGCAAGCAGAAGCCGGCTGATAGGCACTCGCCTGGCAGCGGCAGCAAACCGGCCATTCAGCACGGATGCATCCAGACCCCCACGTAACAAAGAGAAGGCCAACGAGGCACCCGGTTCTGCAGGCTGAGACTTCCCTATTGCTGCTGCTCGGAGCACAACATCCACCATGAGGACTCACCTACTCTTCTGGCCAGCTACATTCTGCTTAAATACTCCTCTTATTTCAAACTTCACATTATTCTGCCAGATTCCTCTCCTGAACTGCTGCGTGGGTCAGCAACTGAAGTCGGAGAGGGCTTGTACCTCTGCAAAGGTCACCGAGACGACTCATCTTTAGTTCTCATGTTGCTACATAAACATAATACAAAGGTTTTCCAGCCAAGCAGCTTCCAAGACAGCCATAAAAATCATCATTCTTAGCCCAAGACAAGAGTTAATGTTTTGGTTTGTTTTTTTTTTTTCCTGAACTGCCACCCTACAAAAGCTGCTTACAGACAATTCTGTATCTGGCTCATCTTCACCTTTAGTGCCTATAAAGCACACATTCCACTGTGTTGGCCAGCTCTAAGACATAGATGAAAAGGTCACCCTCAGGCTTAGAGCTGAGAGAAGCTAACTAGTTAAAAGGAAGCTTTTCCATAACTGGCTATATCAAGTGTACGTACCACAAATATTTTGGGTTTAGCTTCTGCACTGTACAAAATCCCCAACTATCAGGATACATTTCCCAAATTAATATAGAAAGCATGTCACCATAGCGCATCTGAAACATCTCCCCCGCATCCCCATCATAAAAAAAAAGTAAGTTTCCATAACTGAATAAAACACCCAGGCTCTTCCATCCGAGGCTGAAGGCCATGGCGTGGAAGTGATGTGAAGTGACCACAGAACCTGATTTAGAGTCGAGACTTGTTCCTTTTGCCCTCTGAAGAAACTTTCCTTCTGTGACCTTATACAAAGCATTTCACCTCTGGGTTGGAACTCCTCCATCTAATATTTCCCAGGTGGTATATGGAGGCACTGCCACTTCATGCAGCATTTACTGGAGACCATTTGGGTCTGTAAGCACGAGCTGGATTGCACTGGTACCTCCAAAACTAAGGGTTTCCAACCCAGGGATCCTTAGACCCTCGATGAGGTTCACAGAGCAGCAGGAGATACATGAAAGAAGAAAACTGAGTGTATTAGGAACAGCTTAATAAAACAACTTGCCATTTTGGAAAGCTTTTTTACAGATGACAGCTCAGGCAGAATTTTAAAACCACAACCTTTAAACTATACTGAAAAGTATGAATTCATTTAAATACCACTAATGCAAGAATGCCTAAGTATTCCAATACTGCTAGCTAGCTCAAAGTCTGTCTAAAAGAAAGGAATAAGGATACTCTTAAATTACACCAGGTCGATTTCACTGAATACTGAGGCACTCCGGGCTCAGACCAAGCACCATTCCAGTAATAGTCTTATAAAAACGCTGAATGGGTACAGTCAGCTAGAACTCTCAGTTAAAAATAAATATCTTAAATGACTTCCAACATACCCGCTTTACTGGGTTCCTGGCAAACCCGCAGGTTTCCAATTTATTTTTTTTTTTTTAAAGATATTTTTCTTTCACCCATCAGGTTAAAAAGCCACTCAGACAGAAAAAGCAGCTGGTTAATTACAGCTAGAAAACTGGCTGTACACAAACTGCCAGCAAATGTACAGTTAGAGAGAGCTCGTGGAAAAAATCCGTCAGTTTGGCATCTTAGGCATTATATGTAACAAACAGATAATTCACCTTTTCAGACCCAATCGAGGTAACGTTGCTTTTATAGCCAAGCTGTTATCCAGAGCAGTCTTACCAGCTCTACTATGTCAGGCTGCTCATGCAGAGCAAGACGAGACATTTAATATGTTAAAATTAAAGCAAGCGATTAAACACAGCAACACTGGGTTACAACTTATAAAACAGGCATAGTGAAATATCAGAAGCTGACAGTTGTTTCTGACCTAGTTTTAACTGGAGAACAGTCAAAGAGCCGAAAAAGACTGAGGCGAGGCTGAAGGTGCTGAAATTCCAGTACTGGAGCCTGAAGTGCTGGGGAACAGGATTAGGGCAAAAGCCCTCAGACATTCAAACTACTGACGAAGCTTCACAGAGAACAAGGAACTTAAGGTTCAGGAGTTTTAGTTCAATGTCAAGTGACATCCTGGGGAGGAGGGACAGGAGGGTTTAAGCAAGACGGCGATGAAGTAACAGAGGCAAGACCTCCTCGCCGTCCTG